AGGTGGCTCACCTAGCCAGTTCAGTATCTGTAGCTTTATCATTTATACAATGGCCTGATCCAACAGTCTTCTCCATCCACTGCAAAGGGGGTACTTCATTATTTATTTATTTATTTATTTAGTGTGTGTGTGTGGCCAGCTCAGCCCACCAGGGGGCGGGGCTGGCTGGCATTGGTGCTGGGGGATCGAACCGCAGTCCCTGTGCTTTGCTTAGCTTAGCTTGTTCTAAGTAGGTGTTTTAGACCACTGAGCCATCTCACCAGCCCAAAGGGGGTACTTGAGATAACAGAATCATCTTTTATGTTGTTCAAGCCTTAACACATTAAGTCTCCTTTAAAAAAAAATTATAAAATGGGGCTAATGGAACCATACTTGGTATTTCTTTAGGGTTGGATTAGGAATGCAGTAAGGTAATACTGTCAATCAATTAGATCAGAAGGCTTCTTCCAAGCCCCTGCTGCCCACCTCAAACCCCCAAACAGGCAAACTGTACTCAGCATTCCTAATTCAGATGAGGAAAAGGCTGGAGGGAAGGGCTCTGGGTGTGGGGCATCCCTACGTTTCTCTGAGCTCCGTCCTCCAGCCTGCAGAGCCAAGCCCAAGAGACTTTCTGTGGAGAAGCCTGGATTTCTGCCCACAACCTGCTGGTAGCTGGGTGCATCGAGGGGCTTGGTGAGATCCCCGTGGTGTGGGGCTGTTGGGGACGTGGCAGCCAGTGTCCACCTCTTCTGGGGACTTTTGTCATCCAGAGGCTTTGCCTGGAAGGGGAGAGGGACTTCCCCATCATCTGTAGGCCTGTTGCAGACCTGAAGAGATGGTGGAAAGCCCCAGATACGGCAGACTTCAGTCCTCTGGGCCCCAGAGGTGTGCAGAGGACGCAGTGCTTCCCACAGACCCAAGTGAAGGGGCCCTGTGGTAAGAGATGGAGGGGACTGAGAAGTAGCCATGGGCCAGACAGTGGGCATCTCCACTCCTCAGAAAGCCTTGGGGAGAGGTGGTAGAGCATATGAGGGGACTTCAGTCTTAGTAATGGGAGTTAAAACTAAGGCAAAGGGTGCAAACTCACAGGCAAGAGCTTGGATGGAGAGGGAAGAAAAATGGGGAAAGATCTGAGCCTGAGGACATGAGCTGAGGGGCCCAGCTCAGGTGGAGACATTAACACAGGGAAGGGCACTTACAGACAGCTAGCTGAGGTGGCGGGGTCTGCCCGGTCATTTGTCTCGGTTCTGGTTCTCCACTGTGGCTCCAGAGGGGCCCATGGGATGATTGCTTCTGCCCAGGGGGGGCCTCAGTTCCTGTCCTGGGGTAATTGTCCTGCTCAGGGTGATCTGTGTGCAGATGCTCTGCTGGAATCCAGGGGGACTGCGGGTGTAGGACACTGGCTGGAGGCTTGTGGGGGCTGCTCTAGAGAACTTGGAAGGGATGTAGTAAGAGCTGGCAGTGGATTGTCCTGCAAACCTTGAGCGTGCCTTAGTCACTCTTGGTATCCTCAACCTTGGAGGGGGCCAGGATGAGTTAGTATTGCTCAGTAGTGGACGTCAGCGTCAGTCCCCACTCACCCATCATCCATTGTTCAACACACACCCCTCGCACTGAGGGCTTCCTGTCAGCTAGGCGGGGTGCCAGGTGCTACGACGCCACAGTAAGCCCCTTCTCCCGCAGGCCTTTCAGCCAGACGAGCTGGAATTGAGGAAGCGGCCAAATAGTGGGAGCCCCTGCCCAGAAGTCTAACAAAGCTGCTTGTTCAGATGCTGGTTCTGCCACTTGTTTGTCATGTGCCCAGGAACGGCTTAACTTCATCTAAGTATCAGTTGCCCCATCTATAAGATTGTGACAATGATTGGATCTCCCTCTTGGGGTTGGTGTTCGGATTTCATTAGATAATCAGCAGTTTTTAGCATAGTTTCATTATCTGTGAGCAATATCTTCTATTTTACTTGGATGGAAGCCCTCCTTCTCTTGTCTCCTCTAGCACCCTTGCCCCGTGACTTCTAAGAGGTCTTTTGGCTGCCTCTTACTAGCAGCGCTCATCAGCATAGAAGTCACAGCAGAGGTTCGAGGGCACAGCCGATAGCCACATCATTTTCTCTGGTGTGTGACCTTGTTGAGGTTGATCTCAGCTTGAACTGCACTTGCAGCAGTGCCAGGGAGAAAGAGGGAGTCAGACTGTTAGAACCCATGGTGAGGCCGCCCAGGACGAACCATCGGCAGGTAGAGGACCTACAGGTTTGTCTCCTACTCAGCAGAACCGGCTTCTGCAGTGGGCAGCGCTCATCTCCATAGGTGCTGCCAGCAAGATGCCCGAGTAGGTAGCGAGAGCAGGAGTGGCTGCCTGTGCGCCCGAGCCTGCCTCTTGGGTTGTGTGCTAAGGCAACTGTAGACATGTTGGAGTTTGTTGATAATGTAATCTGTCAGCAATTCTGTCTCTGTCTCTGTCTCTCTCTCTGTCTCTGCTGTCTGTCTGTCTCTCTGTCTCTGTCTCTCTGTCTATCTCTCTGTGTCTCTGTCTCTCTTTCTCTGTCTCTCTCTGTGTCTCTTTCTCTGTCTCTGTCTCTGTCTCTGTCTCTCTCTGCTGCTGCTGTGCTGTATCCCCAGCCCTCTTCTCACTTTTGAACTTGCAGTATTTTATAAACGTTTGGTCCATCTACATCATAGTTTCTGCTAGACTCGGTATAACATTCAAGGCCCCCATTTACCTAAACTTAGCTGCAAGCATGGAGAATGCTAAGAGGCGAGGTAAATTCCAAAGCAACACACTGTGGCCTCTTGTATGCAGCTGCAGTGAAGCTCAGACACAGTCACGCCAGTGTAGACACCACAGGGAGGGAGCATCCGCTGCAGCAGAGACATCAGCGTTTCCTAAACAGTCCATTGCACTGCGCTGACAGATTATTAAAAGAAGTCAACAAGTAAAAGCAGTGTTGGTCACCTGATGTCTCATTTCCACTGATTTTCTTTTGTCTCAAAAGTTTTATATAATGAAGTTAATAATTTAGAGTTTCAGTAGAAATAGCAGTTATCAGAGTGCTAGGAATAATATATGTGTGTCTATGTATTTTGTGTTACTAGGTATTGTAACCAGGGCTTTCGCATTCAACTACATCGCTAGCCCTTTTAAAGATTCTTATTTCTGCTGTGACCTACATAGCATGCGGGGTCCAAAGAGGGAGCCACAAGAAATTAAGAAAAACCTACAGACACATACTAAAAGGAAAGCTGGGTCAGATGGGGGACCTGACCGCTCTGATGGAGAAGCAGTGACAACCCTGCATGGTCTGTGTCTTTAGATGTGGCAAAAGGGGGGAAGTGTGTGGTAGATTCAGAAGTGCAAGGTCTCAGTTTTTTGCTGAGAACACTGAAAGTGAAGCATTCTCAGAGCCGTCTGTACTGGAGTGAACAGGGAGGACACAGGGCCAGGCACCTGCTGGACTGGCCCTGCTCCAGTCCTCGCACCTTGTCACAGGGCTCACCTCTTCCCAGGCTTGGCCTTGTTCAAGCCCTGAATGTATGGTCGATCTCCAGCTGAGCTGCTCCCCACATTTTGAGGCAGGGTCTTACTGAGTCACCAAGTTACCCAGGTTGGGCTTGAACTTGTGATCCTTCAGCCTCAGCTTCCCAGAATGCTGGCATTATAGGCATGTGCCACTATGCCCAGATGAAAAATGTTAATTTAGAAGACAAGAAACTTGCCATTATTAATTAGCTTGTTGATTAAATGGATTGAATGTTCACTTTGTAATAGTGGATTTTGCTAGTAGTTAGTCCTTAGAGCTCTAGCCAAAAGCCACAGGATATTTTATCAATCACCAATTATGGTTTTTTTTTTTTTTAATTTTATTTATTTATTTGTGTGTGTGTGTGTGGCCAGCTCAGCCCACCAGGGGGCGGGGCTGGCTGGCATGTGGTGCTGGGGGATTGAACCACTGTCCCTGTGCTTTTATTTATTTATTTATTTATTTATTTATTTATTTTGTGTGTAGCCAGCTCAGCCCACCAGGGGGCAGGGCTGACTGGCATGTGGGGCTGGGGGATTGAACCGCGGTCCCTGTGCTTTGCTTAGCTTAGCTTGTTCTAAGTAGGTGCTTTAGACCCTGTGCTTTGCTAAGCTTGTTCTAAGTAGGTGCTTTAGACCACTGAGCCATCTCACCAGCCCACCAATTATGTGTTTTTAAATTTGTGAACTGGGAGCAGATAGTAAAATTTTTTAAAGTCCTTTGACAATATTACATAAGTCATCCAGAAAGCCAAGAGTTCAGTTTCTCAAGGTTCCAAATCTTATGTACAGTAAAATTGACCACATGCAAGAAAAAAAAAAAAATGCTGTCTCTATTTAAAAACAGTGCAGTTATAAATGAGCTTTTCTGATTTTGTTCTTTTTTAAAAACTTACTTATTCAAAGGTGAAACTTGTGTGAATAATTTAAAATCCCAAATTAGGATAATATCAGTTATCCTTCCTTAATAGTCTTAGTTGCTTTCAAAACAAACCAGAGAGACATTTCCTACCAAAAAAAGGTGAATGGGTTTATCACAGGCCCACTGAACCAACTTTTCTACTTTTGGCTTTCCCTCATTCAGTTCCTTAGAGAAATACAGCCCCATCCCATGTAAATTCTGAAGTCACCAAAATTACAGCTATCTCCTGATATTTGGAGTCTGTGGTTAGCAGACCTTTAGTGAAGCCATTCCCTGCTGTGCTTCTGGGCTCCAGCTGGTCTCCTCAGGACTGTCCAGCCTGCAGCAGAGTTGCATGGGCTGAGTGTGCTGGGGTCTCCTGCTGTGGCTGGGCCACAAGACCCGTCTCACTAACACGATGGGCAGGGAAAGAGCAGCAGTCGCCGCCTGGTAACCCCGTAGAGCATGGTCCCGGCCACACAGGTGCCAGCAAGTCACTTGTGTTCTCTAATCTGTGTTCGTCTTTTTACTTTTTTACCTTTCTCTGCCTAAATTTGTTTTGATTGAATTAGAAAGCACTTCTCAAAATTGTCTTGTTTTCAATAGGCAAACTCAGACTGTCACAGTGAATCCGATCAGGAGGAGGTCGTCGTCGAGGCTTTCTCTGGTAAGAAGAAGCATTTGATGGCTTTTGCTTTTAGCAGTGTCATTTGACTCAATAAAATATACTTTGGGTAGTGGGAATTTTGAGTTTGAGCCATAATACTAGGTTCATACTTGATCATTTTTATCCAAGGAAAGGGTAATTTTTCTTCAGTTTAATCTAATACTTATTCTGTTATACATATTTAAATACTAGATCCAATCAAATATTATAAATTTCAGTTATTTCCAAGAGTAAGGGTAAGTTGGTAGATGTTTAAGTTACTTAATGTAAGCTTATCTTCAGATCTTTATACAAGCAGATTTGCATGGGCTCCTTCTTACCTTTTGGAGGCAGATCTTGCATCCTTAGTGTCAGTACAGGGCTTGGCATTGCTGTTGTTGACAACAGTGCAAGTGGTACATAGTTGAAGACCTACTGTGTCTTCAGGTTTGTTTTCAATATATAATATATTTAACTGCTTTAGAAGCTTTTTTTTTTTAATGGAGGGCAAGAATCCAGGAGAGAATTGCTTTGCCTCTACTGCATAGGCAGTGTGTTTCAACCCTGTGCCCAACTTCCCGTTCCTCAGCCCAAGCCGCAGCCCTACGCGATGCCTCCCCCACCCCAGCTGCACTATAATGGACACTATACAGAGCCATACGCTTCTTCCCAAGGTGAGTACGCTCGTCTGCAAAGCCTTGCACAGTCATCGCCACAAATCAGTCTGTGAAGATGTCCTCAAGCTTGGAGAGTTTTTTTGCCTGAAGTTATACCCCAAATTGTCATGATTAAAGTCATCTTGGATTCACAGAATAAGCCAGTACATTCAGGTTCTTCAATACATGGTGAAAATTTATAGTTTCAAATTTTTTTTTTTTGGGCCAACTCAGCCTGTCCTGAGGGTGGGGCTGGCACAGCATTTGGTGCTGGTAATTGAGCCGCGGTCACTTGCACCTGCCTAAGCAGGTACTTTAGACCACTGAGCTATTTTGCCGGCCCTCAAATTTTGATGCTTAAGTGACACCTAAATTGACCAATAGGAACCTCAGGGTGATTCCTGTGTCCTTTTAACATTCTCACCCATTTGCCTTTGAAAGTTCTTTACTGGTTTCACGGAAAAGAGGCCCCATCTCACTCTGCTTTTCCTTGCTTGAGACCTTCCCACTGTGAAGTTTTAAACACTTGATTACAGTAGCTTTCAAATTTTAAGCACATGGAACTGCATTTATGACAGTGCCCAAAGCCAACTCTGGAGCATTCCTTGAACATTTACTTGATAATTTGGGTATAAAGCTGCACTAAAGAAAGGACAAGGAGGTTGGGGCAGAGCAGTAGGTCCCTGTCTTCAGAAGTATAGAATCTTAATTGTGGGGTAAGACAGATGTACACAGAACTTGGAATTGAAGACAATGGGATTCTTTTGTTGAGGGAGAGTATGGCGCCCTGTGCCATTGGATGGGAGACAGACTTGTCAGGGGAGGCTGAGAACTTTCTAGACTTTGTCAGGAGGCTGGATATTTGCAGTGAGCAGTCGATCCTGACTGGGGCGGCTGCTCAGATTCGGGGCCATAGTGAATACCATGGCTCAGTGTGGAGGGGGATCATTGCCCTTCTCCTTGCCGGGCCGGGGTCACTTGGATTGTGTGCTGGATTTATTGGAGAGAGCAGAGTGGGCCACTGGCCCTTGCATGGAGGGAAGGAAGTTGGAAGGGACAGAAGAAGGCAGATTGTGATTGCCTGTTCATGCTGTGCCATGAGGTAACCCGTAGGGGAGCAGAGCCTGGGCGTTGGGTTCTGGCCCCCAGCTCCGCATGGTTTTGTATTCTTCACTGTCTTCCTCCTCTGCCCACCCTGTCTGCACCTGCGCTCTAGCCCCTGCCACAGCAGGAGGAGGCTCTGCCCTGTGCTGTTGGTCTCCTTGCTCCCCTATTCCTACTCGGCCTATGAACAGCTTGCTGTCTTTTGCTCTCTGCTGTCTTCACATGATTGCTCTGGGTGAAGTTTTCTTTCCTTGTCCACCCTCTCCTGCAAGTGGTAGATGGAGCTAGCCAGGACTTCCTGGCTTCTGGGCCGTTAGTGGGGTGAGTGGCTACAGGTGACACTTGGGCCTGGAGAAGCTCACACTCCACTACGCTGTGTCCTTTTGTATTGAAGTTTTGCCTTTATTCTGGAAGAATTGATACAGGCAATCTAGAATCCCAGTTCAGGAAAGGTTTATAGACGGCTTGAGCCAGCTCAGCATTGGCAGGCTGGCCACATGGCTGCCAGGTAGAGGCAGTCGCTGCCTCGGACCTTGGGCGCTATCCCTGCCTCAGGTTCTGCAGAGTTCCAAAAACTCTTGTCTCCAAAGAAGTAGAGGTTTTTAACTTTCAGAAAAAGACATTTCTTGGTACACAGTTACACTCAGTCTTGGAGTTAGATTAGGCTGATGTCTGTCAGGTGCCAGATTCTGAACCCCACCCTCACAGCAGCAGGGCCAGCCTCCTGTAGATGACAGGCTGAGCTTCCGCAGTTCCTTGGGGAGCCAGTGTACCACCCTTTCTCAGTATTTGTCTACAGTAACCAGCCCAATTGAATACATTTTAAAAATCTCACTTAAAAGTGCATTTTAAAACTTCTCTTCTCCAGATAACCTCTTTGTGCCCAATCACAACGGCTATTACTGTCACTCCCAGACAAGTCTCGATAGAGCCCAGATGGACGCCAGTGGTCGAATCCGAAACGGCAGCGTCTACAGCGCACACAGCACCAGCTCGCTGAACAACCCACAGCCCTACCTGCAGCCCTCCCCGATGTCCTCCAACCCAAGCATCACCGGAAGTGACGTCATGAGGCCCGACTACGTGCCCTCGCATCGCCACAGTGCCCTGATACCCCCTTCCTACCGCCCAACCCCAGACTATGAGACTGTAATGAAGCAGCTCAACCGGGGCATGGCGCAGGCAGAGAGGCAGAGCCACTCGCTGCGAAACCTCAACATCGGCAACTCCTACGCATACAGCAGACCCGACGCCCTGGTCTACAGCCAGCCTGAGATCCGGGAGCATGTGCACTTCACCTCCCCGCAGTCAGCGCACTACGCCTTCAATCTCAACTACAGCTTCCATAGCCAGGCCCCCTACCCCTACCCTGCCGAACGGCGGCCGGTGGTGGGCGCGGTCAGTGTGCCCGAGCTGACCAATGTGCAGCAGCTGCAGGCCCAGGACTATCCGGCGCCCAACATCATGCGGACCCAGGTGTACCGCCCACCGCCGCCCTACTCCTACCCTTACCCCAGGCCAGCCAATAGCACGCCGGACCTGTCCCGCCACCTGTACATCAGCAGCAGCAACCCCGACCTCATCACGCGGCGTGTGCACCACTCAGTGCAGACCTTCCAGGAGGACAGCCTGCCGGTGGCGCACTCGCTGCAGGAAGTCAGCGAGCCACTAACGGCTGCACGTCGCGCGCAGCTGCAGAAACGCAACAGCATCGAGCTGGCGGGTCTAGCGCATGGCCTGGAGGGGCTGCGGCTCAAGGAGCGCACATTGTCTGCATCAGCGGCCGACCCTGCCCCCGGGGCCCCAGCCCTGGCCCCCGCACCCTGCGCTGTCCTGGCCGGCTCCCAGCCCAGCGTCTGCGTCGACAGAGCCAACCAGGACGAGGCTGAGGAGCTGGACGGTGGCAGGTATGGGCACAAGAAGTCTCTCTCAGACGCCACCATGCTGATCCACAGCAGCGAGGAGGAAGAGGAGTTTGAGGAGGATCCCAGAGCCCCAGCCCCACTCTCCACCCAGCCCCGGCTGCTGGCCGCCTACGTCCCAGAGCTGCAGCAGCGGAGCCACCCCTGTGCCACCGGCGTCCTGGGCCCTGGCCCTTTGCACATTCTGGAGCCCAAGGCCCACGAGGCTGAGAAGAGGGCAAGGGACGGGAACCCTGCCCACGCGTTTGTGGAAGCACAGCGCCCCCGCAGAGAGGGGCTGCTAACGCCCTCCATGTCTGAGTCTGACCTCACCACGTCGGGGCGCTACCGGGCCCGGAGGGATTCTCTGAAGAAACGGCCGGTGTCCGACCTGCTCTCTGGGAAGAAGAACATCGTAGAAGGGCTCCCGCCTCTGGGGGTAAGCGCCCTGGCCCCGCAAATGTGCCCTTCCCCTGTCCCTCTTCTGCCTTTGTCGTGTTGCTTCCGATGTTTTCTTAGCTTTAAAAAAAACCTTGTTTAACCTTTTCCATCCTACTTCCCTGCATCTTGTCTTATTTTTATCTTACATTGTGAACACATTTAAGTTTCTATGTGGAAGTTATAGGGGACTTGAAATTTGAGTAGTTTTCCAGAGATGATAAATTGGATGCAGAGGTTCTGGGAAGACTTGCTGTGATGCAGCACCAACGAGCAGAAGACTTTCCGGCTTCAGCCCAGATGCGAGTGCTGCTGACCCTCCCTGGAAGTACCGTGTGGTGACGCAACACTCAGGGCTGGGTTGGTTCTGTGTGCTCGGGTGATGTCTGTGCGCAGCGTCCAAGGCTGTGCTCCCAGTGGTGTGGAGGGTCTCCACAAGCGTGCGTGCGTGCGTGCGTGCGTGGGGGAAGGGGGTTAAGGCCAGAGTCTGTGGATGTAGCTTGAGTAGCTCTCCCACGACCTCTGAGGAGTCGAGTGATTTCAGCTTGAGAAGGTGGCACTTGATAGAGAAAACCCGCAGAGCTCCAGGTCCCTTTAAAAGAAAGATAAACACAGAATTCAAGGAAAGTCCCTTGTGGAAATAGTAGCTTTTTGCTGTGCGATATATAAATAAAAATGAAGCACTTCTTATTTGAAACAAAATGTGAAAGAGCCTAATGACATCATCTCTAGCTGCTATTTTCAGAGCGTTTACCAAGTACTGATTTGCTGGGTCCAGTTGAAGAGAAGCCTGTTGTTATGCTCACTTCGCAAATAAAGAAATGGATTGTGAGGTACTAAGTAACTCTTCAGAGGTCACAGGACTAGTGAGTGCCTGCACTGACTCGTTCTCTCTGTAGCCTGTTCTCTTCTGCACTGTTCTGCATGAAGGTACAGCATTCTGTATATATGTTTTACTAAGCAACAGTTGCTTGTTGAAGTGTCTCTTTTCTGTCTGTGGGCTGGAACTTGATAATTTCTGGACCGTTGACTAAGAATTTGTGGTCCTGCTGTGAGGTTTGCCCACTCCCAGCCATCTTTCTGCACTGCTCGCGGGTGGGCTCCTCATAGCCCACACCATGTCTCCTGGCCCCGCACATGCCAAGCAGGTGTCCTCAGGCAGTTATCCTGGCCGCGAGGCCTCCCATCTCTGCTAGACAGCATGCCCAGACCTGATGGCCCAGGTAGGAGGTGCTCAGGGACGCGGCTTCATCTTGATAGGCAAGATAAAGCTCACGCAACACGGTATCATAGTACTTAGAAAATAGAACACTGTACAGAGACAGAAACCACTTACAAAAGTGGTATGGATTTTTTTCCCTCCATTTTCATAGGAGTGCAGTACGCTACGACTGCGCCACTTATGGGGCGCAGTGCAGAGCACGTCCTCATTCTCTTGGCAGCGCTTCCCTGTCTTCTCTCATCTGTCCCTTCTGCCCTTTCTCTGTCCCTTGGTCCCCTTCCCACTGGCAAAAGTTTTGTCTCCCTGTCTCCTGTAATCTGCCTCTTACTTTGCTCTTTATTCATAGTTTGGGCTGCTCAAGAAAGAGAAATGCTTTTTGTAAATCCAAGTTAGGGTTTGCATTTTGTTTTTCACTTTTCCCGAGGGTAATTCTTTAACTGTCTGAGGAGTAAACACCAGCATCTTGGGTGGACCAAGGTCAAGGACGCAGGCTGAGGAGCTGGGTAGGGTGGGATCAGGTGTGGGGCCCACAGAGTGATTGCTTTAGTACCTGGGCAGCTGGACAGGACCTCACACCATGTGAAGAACAGGCTGCTGCCCTATGTGTGGCCCAGATACCTTCTCCAAATAACAGTGGTTTGGAGTATGCCCAGTATGTTATCCCTTTGTGTTTTGAAGGGGGCCTGGCAAGTTCAGGTGAATCTGAAGACTGATCAGTTTCATTCTTTTCAAAATACAAAATTTTGGGCCGGGGATATAGCTCAGCAGCACCTCACCTGCCCAGCACATGCAAGGCCCTGAGTTAGATTCCTGGCACCAAAAAAGAAAACAGTTCTTAAAAAATGCAAAATTTCTCTCTCAATAACTTTTTAATATCTACAATATTAATAAAATCTTGAAATCGGATTATACTTCTAGCTTCCATTTTGTGTAAAAACATTTTACTTATTGCATAGCAGCTTTGGTTAAGGGGTAGAATATAGTAGTCTTAAGAGTTAAAAGCCTTGGGTTTCAGTCTAGATTCTGCCATTTATTAATTTTATGCTTGTGACTAAGACCCTTCGTACATTAAACCTCAGCTTGCACGTCTGTAATCTGGGGACAGTAGCCTCTGCCCTGCCCTCTTGCCTTGTAGCCTTAAGTCTCATATGAAGTTAGACATGAACAAATGCTTAATTCATTGACTCAGCATGAGTTACTGTACTGAGAGTTGTTTTTTTTTTTTTTACTGTTTTGATACATTCTTTTCTTTAAAAAAAGGCAGCTTTGTGACTTTGAGGAAGCATCTTTGTCTGAGACTCAGCTGTCTCATTTGTGAGTGGAAGGACTCCAGAATGTTGCTGGAAAAACAAAATGAGGTCCTGTGGCATCAAAAGTGCCATCAGTATGGCCTCGTTACCACAGGGCTGCATCATATGCTTAACTCCTGTACAGCCAAGAGTGGCAGAGCCAGCCCCCTGCTAAACCTTGGATCCTGTCACGGCAGCATGGGCTGTGGTTATTTTGTGTAATTATTACAACAAATATACAGATATGAATTAAGGTTCAGGAAGTTTAGTGTTAAAAATGGTGAATTAAACTGAAGATCATAAGGAGCAGGTCAGAGTTCTCTGCCATCTCTCCATGCACCTGCATCTACAGTTTCTCCCATGCACCCTTAGTCTTGTGCAGAGCTTACGTGTAACACATAACTGTGCATTTACAGATACGTGTTTGTACTCTGAGAACTAATTAAGGGCTTTTCAAAGCTTGGTTTTGCTTCTTTCAATTACTGACTTTGGAACTGACCTGACAGCCACTCGCCTGTGGTGAGCATGTTGGCATGGGGTGCTGTGGGTCACTTTCGGGCAGCTAAGTGCTCACCTATGTGCGCTAGCAGAGCTGACTGCTGAATTTCCAGGAATCTTGTGAGCCTGCTGATGGTCCATTGGCGGTTTGCAGCGGGCTGCGGTGGAAGTGTTTATACCATGAAAATTGACAGATATGAGCTAGAACTTTTTCCTGTAAGGCCGGTTGTTAAGCATTACCAGCACACCGCTGTTTTTGTATACATTAGAGTCATGAAGTTTTAGCCAGCTCAGGACCTTTGAAGTTTGTCTGTCTGTCTATTTCTCTATCTCTAGGTGAGACTTAGAAGAGAAGGCTATTTATGTGAAGGATGTTGCTAGAGTTCAACCCAGGATTCTACCTGTTCCTAGTCCAGATTTCATTATGTGGAAGTGCATAATAAAGTATGAAGCGTAAAATTAGAAATTATTGCACTTAGCTTTTTGAGTTAGATACCAGTCACAGTCTCCAATTATAGTAGTAACCTAACAGTCCTTTTTTTTTTGGATGTAACCTTTCAACAAAATACCTTTTCTTTTTCTGAAATCACTATTATTGCTGTGTTACTGATCCTGGAGTTTTGTGGCTTTTGGTATGCATGGAGAGCTTAAGTAAAATTGATTTCATGTTTAAGAGCTAAAGTAAAATTGATTTCATGTTTAAGACAGAACAAAGAAAACCATCCCTCGGGCCTGGAGAGATAGCTCAGTAGAATAAACGCTTGCCTGGCAAGTGCAAGGGCCTGAGTTCAATCCCTGGTAGGGCTTTCAAGGAGGTACGGAGTATCTGTCTAAGGAGATTTAGCGTTCTTAGGCTTATTTGCTATCAAGAAGACAGTCATTAGGTTTAATCATAACTTTAGGAGATACCATGTGGTACTTAGGCTTGTGTATCTGACTTCACTTAGCATTATTCTCAAGTTGCTTTATTTTTTTTAATGGAAGAATAGTTTTTAAAATAGTTATTAATTCTACTCATGTTAAAAAATTTAAAAATAGCTTTAGGAAGCACCTGTTTTCAGAAGACAGAATTAGAGTCCTCTTGGTGCTCTGTTTCACACATGCTATCGTCTTGGTGGAGATTTCAGCCTGTTTCATTTTCCTGGTTTAAAAATGTGGCCGTTGATAAACAAGCACAAGATGTAGAGATGCAGTTATCGCTAGTCCCCCCTTCCCCTCCAAAGTGTGAGTCATTTCTTTACCTGTCACCTCTGTCTCCTAGTTATTTCCATGGTTGGAATAGCCAGTCTATCAGTATCTTTCAAAATAACTGAAACACATTTCCTGTCTTGAACCACAGGCTTATGAGTAGACAGTTTCAATAGTAAATTTAAGAAAAACTGCATACTTATCTATAAACCATCATGACAAATTGCTGTAATAAGCAAAATATCACAGATGTTTTTCATGAGGTTGGTAGAATATTTATTTTGCAATGACTTTGCAAATCTTGTTGGTTTTCTGTTGTGATTTCTGTAAGGCAGATGTGGCATTTTTTAGGAAAAGATTATAATATGACTCTCAAAAATATGTTTGTGCATTTTTATTTATAAATGCTTATATCGCCCATGTTTTTTATATAAACTTAAATTTTTCCTTTAAAAAAAAAATGTGGCCGTTGTGAGAAGCGTAATGATCCAAGCCAGGCCACCAAATTCTACAGTAAAATGTTGCACAGTGTGGAAAGGCAATGCTCAAAAGGAGCTTCCAAGCAAGCCATTTAGTTTCATTTATTTATTTATTTTTTATTTACTTATTTTTTTT